ACTTCCCTCCCTCTCTCTGGAACTAGGATCCCTCTTGAAACTTGTAAGCCAGTTACTTCATGTCTTTGTATCCCCCACCCCCAATTTGGGTTGCCAATGTCTAAGTTGCCCATCCTTATCAACCCTGTGTACAAAGGGAGTGGAAATGATCCTTGCTATAAAGATTTGTTCCCTCTTTTGAGCTACTACAACCATAAGTATAGCTCAAGTTCATCATATTGAAGCAGATTACTTTTCCCCCCTGTTCTTTCTTCCTCTACTCAAGTTCTGACCACCCAGCCATTGACACCAGGTCAAGTGGTATGGGTGTTCTTGTGCATCTCCCCTCACTTCATATCAGCTGGATGCTTCACTCTTCGCTCTAGTCCTTGGTAGCCTGTCCCTGGGCCAGGAGTCCCTAGGTCTTGCCATACTGATGACCAACCAAGTCTCAACCCACCTTGACAGGAGTCTATTGAACATGGTCGGATTTAGCTCTCAAGTTCATTGCTATTTTCCCCCCACTTCTCCTTATCCATAAATCAACGTGGTCACCAGCAAGAATACATGCCTGCTCATGTATACCCCTTGAATCTCAGTCTTGGAAGGGGGTTTGCCCTGAGCGTACCCGACCAATTGCCTTGATGGCTCCCCAGTGAACAACTTTCTGGTTCTTGTAGTAGTAAATCAGACTGCCATTATTATTTTTTATTTTTCCTGCTGGTGTTTGTTTCAACTTGGGATCAACAGGAATAACTCCTTCTGCATATGCCTCTGTTGGCACCAGCTAACGCAGTGGCAGGTCTTCTGCCTGGTGGTGGACTCCTGCCTACTCCTAATCCACTTATGCAGATTGGCGCTGTTCCATTGATTGTTTTGGGAGCTCCTACTCTTGATCCTGCCCTTGTTGCACTTGGGCTTCCTGGAGCAAACTTGAACTCTCAGTCTCTTGCCGCAGATCAGTTATTGAAGCTTATGAGTACTGTTGATCCCAAGTTGGATCACGTAGCTGCAGGTCTTGTTTCACCAACTCTGAAATCAGATACTTCTAGTAAAGAAATAGAGGAAGCCATGAAAAGAGTACGAGAAGCACAGTTCCTAATTTCTGCTGCTATAGAGCCAGATAAGAAAGAAGAAAAACGAAGACATTCAAGATAAAGATCACATTCTAGGAGGAGGAAGACTCCCTCATCTTCTAGACACAGGTGATCCAGAAGCAAATTGCGGAGGAGATCACATTCTAAGTCAAGGAGTAGACGACTATCCAAAAGTCCGAGACAGAGACGATCTCATTCCAGAGAAAGAGGTAGAAGATCAAGGAGTACATCCAAAACCAGAGACAAAAAGAAAGAAGATAAAGAAAAGAAACGTTCCAAAACACCACCAAAAAGTTATAGCATAGCCAGATGTTCTAGAAGTGCAAGCAGAGAGAGAAGACGAAGGAGGAGCAGGAGTGGGAAAAGGTCTCCTAAGAAGCCCAGGTCTCCTAAAAGTTATCTTGCTCACCATCCCCTAGGAGACATAAAAAGAGAAGAAGAAAGACAAAGAAAGAAGTAGAGATGAAAGAGAACGATCAACAAGCAAGAAGAAGAAGAGTAAAGATAAGGAGAAAAATGGGAAAGAAAATCAGAGAGTGACAAAGTTGTAAAACAGGTTACACGAGATTACGATGAAGAGGAACAGGGGTATGACAATGAGAAAGAGAAAAAAGAAGCCAACGGAAGAAGGTTCCCCTAAAACAAAAGAATGTTCTGTGGAAAAGGGAACTGGAGATTTACTCAGAGAATCCAAAGTAAATGGGGATGATCATCATGAAGAAGACATGGATATGAGTGACTGAATATTGCCTCTACAGGTATCCAACTGTATACATGCATCAGTGTCATTCTTTTGTGTGATTTCTTCATGCTGTATTTGTTCATCTCAAATCTAGATGTATACAGCTCTGAGTTATAAAATGGTCATATAAAGCTCCTGATAATGATATTAGTTGCTTACATCAAAAGCTTTTAGAAAATGGTGGTACATGGTAGCCAATTCTTGTCATGGTGAAATCTGATTGAGTAAACAGCAGTTTTCTATTCTGGTGTTGCTTCATAATAAAAATGAAAAGCTGCATGCATCTACAGCAGGCATGGATTGTTTATGTTGTATGATCTCCTTTATTAAGTAGGTTCACTTATAGTATTTCTAGAATTTGATTCATTGCCGTAATACAGCCATGTAGGGAATGCACTGATTGCATGTTAATTGTGGCAGGAATATTCTAAATGTCATTAAAATCCTTCAACATAATGGATCTACTTAGAGTCTTGTTTGTTGACACAACAAATTAATATTCTTATAGTTACATCTGAAAATGAGCATTTGAAATAGATAATCCTTTTAAGCCTTGTGGATAAATTTTTGTGGCTTTTGTTTAACTTTGAAAGGTTTGTGTATATATATATACTAACCTTTTTGATCACTAATTAGGCTTTAATTACAGAAACAGAAGATTTCAAATAAAACTTTGGCAGTGAGTAGAAGCATACTTTAAAAAAGCGTTGTATACTTTTTCATAAGGTATTTGGGATTTGGTTGTTGTTGTTTTTTTCCCTGAAATAATTTATTCCATTATCACCATCAATGAAAGCTTTCTGCCTGGAAATCCATTTGTAAAAGAGAGTTCTATCTTGCCCTGATTTTCAGTTTTTCCATTCTTACTAAATTTGTTTTAAGCTCACTATTAGAAAAAGGGGAAAGTGCATTTTAAACTGACCTTCTTCGTATGCTTTTACAATAAGACAAATAAACTTGATAATGCACTTATTATTTGCTCTCAAGTTGTATAAAACCAACAAATTTGTGTTACTGTTACTGCAGTAGTATTGTTATGCACAGTGATTTCATGTTATATGCAAAGTAGTTAGGCAACTGTTTTCTTAGTTACAGGAGTTTACGCTTCACTTTTGTGCAGTCAAAGCAAAAGTAGGCTACAGTCTGTGTCATGTTGATGTACAGTTTCTGAAATTGTTTTACAAGGACTTTGATAATAAAACCCTTAAAAAAAAAAAAAAAAAAGTATCTTCTGTTCTTCAAGCCACTCAAGCAAGGCTGGTCTGCTTGTCCTTTCAAGTGGAAATTTCCCACCTCAAAAGATTCTGGATGGGGATAAGGATTCTACCTATGGTCTTATGCAATGCAAAGGCTCTGCAGGAAGCCTCTTTCACTGGGAAAGTTCTAACCCCATTTTAGGTATTTCAATCAGTTATAGAAGTTATAGAAGATGGACATAAACTTTCTATGGCGATGTTTCTCACTATTCCTTTCTCTACCCTCAAGTGTTTATTTTTCAATAGTATGCAAGGGAAACCAAGATTAAAAGACAGCCAAGCATCTTAACATTATTTCCTCATTTTTACCCATTCAAACCATGCCTCAATCCCTGTATCCCATAGCCCTGTGGTTCCAAGGTTGATCATACATCATTATTTACCTCTGCCCCACTTAGCCCTTGCAAACCTGCCTAAATGTTCTCCCATCTACCTTGCTCTTTCATTCCCCTCTCCCTTCTTCTGTATTGCCCACCCACCAGTACCCAAACTATCCTGTGTCTGTTTCCTAACCTGTGCTCCACCTTCCTCTCGCTCCCTTCATCCCATCCCATACACTGTGGTAACCAGCAAATACTTTTTTTTTCCCTTTTAGTGTAGGTATTTTTTTCTTAAGCTTTTACAATAATGTTCCTATGCAGTATTTCTCCTTTTGTGACTGACTAATTTCACTCAGCATAATGTCCTCAGTGGTCATTTATGATATGCGGTGGCTTGCAGCTTCCTTGTTATTCTTCAAGGTAGCATAATATTCCATTGTGTACATGTACCAAAGTTCATTTATCCAGTTTTCCATTGATGGACACTTCTGTTGTCTCCATCTTTTTGCTATTGTAAATACTGCTGCTATGAACATTGGTGTACATATATCTACTCGTGTTATGGCTCATATTTCTTGTGGAAAATACCAAGTGGAAGGATTTCTAGATCATAAGGTATTTCTATATCCAACCTTCTGAGGAAGTACCATATTGTTTTCCAGAATGATTGCACCATTTTGCAATCACACCAGCAATGTAAGACCGTTCCAGTCTCTCCACATCCTCGCCAGCATTTATTGTCCTCTTTTTTTTTTTTATCTTTGCTGTTATTGCTGGTATGAGATGATATCTCATTGCTGTTTTGATTTGCAACTCTCTAATGGCTAATGGAGTCCTGGTGTGACGCTGTGAGTTAATGCGCCAGACTGCAAAGCCTTTTGAACTGCAAGGTTGGCAGTTCAATCTTACCAGCTGCTCTTTGGAAACCCTACACAGGGTCGCTATGGGTTGGAATCAACTCGATAGCACTTAACAACAACAACAACAATGGCTAATGATCGTGAACATTTCTTCATATGTTTGTTGGCTGCCTGGATATCTTTCTTGGTGAATGTTCTGTGCCCATTTTTTAATTGTGTTATTTGTCTTTTTCTTGTAGCGATGTTGTAGTTTCCTATATATTTTAGAAATGAGTCCCTTGTCTCATGCATTATTGCAAAAGCTTTTATCCCGTTCTGTGGACTCCATTTTTACTCTTTTGGTTAAGTTTTTTGATGCACGTAGGTTTTTAATTTTTAGCATGTCCTAGTCATCTATTTTATCTACTTTTGTTTGTATAATTTTCAAAATGTTTGGTAGTCAGTGTGTGCCCTGTACTAGAGTCCTCAAATTTGTCCCTATTTTTTCATTGATGGCCTTTATTTTTCTGGGATTCACATTTAGGTCTTTAATTCATGCTGAGTTTGGTTTTGTATAAGGCATGAGGTAAAGGTTTTGATCCAATCTTTTGCGTATCACTTTCTATTACTGCCAGCACCACCTTTTGAAGAGATTATCTCCTCCCCATGCAATATACTTTGGCCCTTTGTCGAAAATCAGTTGGCTGGGTGAAGGGTTGAGAGGCGGAGCGGGGCGGCCAGCTGGGTCGAGAGGGAGCTGGGTTAGGATGAACGAGGACGTGCTGACTATGCTTAAGATCCTCATCATCGGCGAGAGTGGGGTGGGCAAGTCCAGCCTGCTCTTGAGGTTCACAGATGATACTTTTGACCCAGAACTTGCAGCAACAATAGGTGTTGACTTCAAGGTGAAAACAATATCAGTGGATGGAAATAAAGCTAAACTTGCAATATGGGATACTGCTGGTCAAGAGAGATTCAGAACATTAACTCCCAGCTATTATAGAGGTGCTCAGGGTGTTATATTAGTTTATGATGTCACAAGAAGAGACACCTTTGTTAAGCTGGATAATTGGTTAAATGAATTGGAAACATACTGCACGAAAAATGACATAGTAAACATGCTAGTTGAAAGCAAAATTGATAAGGAAAATCGTGAAGTTGATAGAAATGAAGGCCTGAAATTTGCACGAAAGCATTCCATGTTATTTATAGAGGCAAGTGCAAAAACCTGTGATGGTGTACAATGTGCCTTTGAGGAACTCGTTGAAAAGATCATACAGACCCCTGGACTATGGGAAAGTGAGAACCAGAATAAAGGAGTAAAACTGTTGGACAGAGAAGAAGGCCATGGAGGAGGAGCGTGTGGTGGTTATTGTTCTGTGCTATAAACTCTGGGAAATTCCCTCTCTGGCATAGTTGATCAGATAATGACATCTTTCTGTATATAAACTCTTTAACTGCTATTTTAGGGACCTTGAAGTTTGCACATATTTGTTTTGTATCATGACAGTAAATATTTGCAGGAAATCTCACTCATTGGCTTTCCCAGGTAACATGTTATGGTAAGCATGCACAGTTTGCAGTCTACAGGTTGTTGGTTTTTTTATTTTATTTTTTAATTATTAATGTAACGTAAAATAGGTGTACCTTTTTAAGTACATTTGATTTTATGATTTACAGTTATCATGTAATTTTTTAAAAATCCATCTATTTAGTATCTGTTGATACAAGGTCTGCTTTTGATCTCCTTTTGCTTAAATACTCCTATTGATTATTGAATTACTTGGTATCTAGAACTCCTAGGAACATTGGGAGGTATACATATTCATCAAACCTGGCAAAATTCCTTTCAGGAATAATGAAGAGCATGACTCCACAGCTTTTCTAGGATGTTTGTTGACAGATTCTCTTATAGTATTAAAAATTTTTCTCCTAACAGAAAGTAGCCCAGGCCAATTTATAATTAAATCTCTATTTGTTCTGATGATGCTTCTAAACTAGCATTGATAGGTTAAAGAAGTTTGGTCTTTTTAATTAACTTCAATGAGTATCTCAGTGGTTTAACTGAGTTTTAATTCTATGTATCTACCTGGCGGTCACAGTTCTGTGCAGCATTTTAGTTATGTGGCAATTGGCAGATTGTTTTCCCCGTTTTGATTTCAGAAGCACATGAATAGTGTGTTTATTGTAATTCATGTAGTTCTTACAACTTTTAAATCAACTCCCTTTTTTCATAAATGTTGGTTATGTTTGTCCACATACCTCACCTGTAACTTGTATAATGTTTATGGCTATGTTTGTATCTTAAGATAATTACTAGTTGATATACAAATCTAGTTCTGTATTTTGAGGAGTGGGAGGGGAGAAAACAAGCTAGAAACACTAAATGACAATTTGAGAAAGGCATAATGCTTCCAGATTCTGATGTGAGTGGTAAACTTCTGTTTCAATGAAAATCTTGATCATTTACTGTAACAAGTAGTCAATAGCTTTCCGAAACCAACTTGTACAGACTAATAAATCTTTTCCACAGTATTCAGTTTTCTAAAAAAAAAAAAAGAAAAGAAAGAAAATCGATTGGTTGTATGTGTATGGATGAATTAATTTCTGGATTCTCGATTCTGTTCCATTGATCTATGTATCTTTCATTGTTCCAGCACCAAGCTGTTTTGACCACTCTAGCCATGTATTTAATTTTGAAATAAGGGAGTGAGAGGCTTCCAAATTTATTCTTCTTCTTAAGCAGTTATTTACTTGTTTTGGGTCTCTTTCCTTTCCATGTAAAGTTTGTAATTGTTTTTTTCATCTCCTTGAAGAATGTCGGAATCTGGATTGGGATTACATTATATGTGTACATTGTTGTGGGTATTATTTACATTTTCACAATGTTAAGTCTTCTTATCTAGGATCATGGTATAGTCTTCCATTTTTGTAGGTCTCTTTTGGTTTATTGTAGCAGCGTTTTGTAGTTTTCTTTGTATAGGTCCTTTGTTTCTTGGGTTACATTTATTCCTAAATATTTCATCCTTTGGGTGGTTATTGTAAATGGTATTGCTTTCCTAATGTCCTTTTCAACGCTGTTTTTTTGGTATAGAGGAATCCAACTGATTTTTATATGTAGACCAATGAGGTCTAGTAGCTTTTTTACTGAGTCTTTTTTTTGGGGTTTTCTATGTATAGGATCATATCTTCTGCAAATACTAAGAATTTTCTTCCTTTTTTGCCAATTTGGATGCCTTTAATTTTGTCTATCTTGCTGTATAGCTCTGGCTAAGACTTTCAGCACAATATTGAATAGAAGTGGTGACAAAGGGCATCCTGGTCTGGTTCCTGTTCACAGAGGAAGGTTTCAGTTTCTCTCCATTGAGAGTAATGTAGGCTGTTGGTTTTGTATGTATACTCTTGATTATGTTGAGGAATTTACCTTCAATTTTTACTTTGTTGAGTGTTTTTATCAGGAATGGATGTTGGATTTTGTCAAATGTCTTTTCTGCATCAATCGATATGGTCATGTGGTTTGTTTCCTTTTTCTTATTTATATGGTGGATTACATTGATTGAAACCTGGTGTGGCACTGTGGGCTAATGTGTCAGAGTGCAAAGTCATTTGAACTGCAAGGTCGGTGGTTCAAGCTCACCAGCTGCTCCTTGGAAACCCTATACAGGGTCGCTATGGGTCAGAATCCACTCGACGGCACTTAACTACTACTACTACTACATTGATCGGGTTTCTAATGGTTTACCATCCTTGCATCCCTGATATGAATTCCACTTGGCCATAATATTGGTATTATTTTTTTTGATGTGCTGTTGGATCCTGTTGGCTAGGATTTTATTGAGAATTTTTGCTTCTATGTTCATGAGGGATATTGAGCTCTAATTTTCTTTCTTACTGATGTCCTTCCCTATTTTTAATATGAGAATTATGCATGCTTCATAAAATGTATTAGGAAGTTTTCCATCCTCTTTTTGACTGAGGATGTGAAACTTTTCAATCATCTCTTTCCACAGATATAACCAATTTGATTTCTGTGTATTCTATTTGGTGAGGTCTATGTGTATAATCGTCTCTTTTGCTGTCTAAAGAAGGTATATCAAATGAACAAATCATTGTTTTTTCAGAATTCTATCATGTGATCTCCAGCATCATTTCTATCAGCAAGGCCATATCTTCGAATTGTTGATCCTTCCTCTTTGTTCCCAATTTTTGCATTCCAATCACCAGTAATGATCAATAAATCTTGATTGCATGTTTGATCAATTTCAGATTGAAGAATTTAGTAGTATTCTTCTATTTCATCCTCCCTGGCTTTAGTGCTTGGTGCGTAAATTTGAATAATAGTGTTATTACCTGGTCTTCCCATAGGAGAATGGATTTTATCCTATCACAGACAGCATTGTGCTTCATAACTGCTCATGCTATGTTCTTTTTGACAATGAATGCAACACCATCCCTCTTCATTTGGTCATTCCTGGCGTAGTAAACCATGTCGTTGTCAGATTCAAAATGGCCAATATTAGATGAGCCTCCTGTAAATGTTTACAGCCTCGAAAACCCTATACATGTTCGCTGTAACTCAGAAGCTACTCCACAGCACATAGACAACCAACCAACCATAGTTTCCCTACACTGACAATTTGTTAAGCAGGTAACTTTAGCTTGACTTGTATATGAGGATAAGTCAAAAAGTATCCATACTGAATGTGTATTAAAATGTCCCCGTCCATGTTCACAGCAGAAGACAACATTTAGCGTGTCAAATAGATGAGTGACAGTGAACTATGTGGCAAATTATTTTCAAATCAGCCATGGTTCTGTCTATGAAATAATCCATGACACGCTTGGGTTTTAGAAAATATGTTTTAGATGGGTGCTGAACAAACTCATGGAGGAGCATAAACAGGAGTGTTTGGACATCTCCAAACAAAATATCGACCAATCCTCAAAGGAAGCCAAAGGTTTATTTCAAATAATTGTTATTGGTGACAAGACATGAGTTCATTATTATGAATCTGTGATTAAATGACAGAGAAAGGTAAAAAATCAACAATCATTTGGAAAATTGATGCTTACAATTGTCTGGGATTCTAAGGAATAGTGTTGGAACACTATCAGGAGAAAGATTCAACAATCAACAGATGCTCACTGAAGAGCTGAAGCCTAAACTTCTGATTAAATGCAGAAGACTGCTATCCTTGTGATCTTTCATGACAATGAATGTCCACACACCTCTGCTCACAATGTTGATACAATGCAAAATCTACATTTTAAGGTGTGAAATCATCCTCACTATAGTCCTAATCTTGCTACATCTGACTTTCAGCTATTTGGTTCCCTGATATAAATCATTTGAGGACAAAGATTCACCTCTGATGAAGATGTGAAGACAGTGGTATATCTGTGGCTCACAGCTCAGCTTAAAATATAATAGAGAATATGAAAGCTTGTTGACAGATGGAAAAAGTGTATTGAAAATCAAGGAGATTATGTCAAAAAATGATACATTTGTCTTTTCTAGAAGTTGATTAAAATAAATTCTATACCCTGAGTGCAGATAATTTTTGACTCACCTTTGTATATACACCAAATAATTTCAGCCATTACTAGTAGGGATTCTGGTATTGAATTATGTCCAGTTCCTATTAAGAATTCATGAAACTTTTAGTCAAACGGCTCTGTCCTTGTTTCATCCAAGTCATCTTGATCTTTTATTATCATGTCTACATTCAAGATCTGCCTCTCTTTTTTGCATTTTTCCTAATATTCAAATTGCAAACAATCTTTAATCTCTCTGTATTCAATTGCTCAAATTTCAGACTTGGAAAGCTGTGATTTCAAGAACCTGGATAATCTTCAAATCCATTAAACCAGAATCTTCAGGTAGTACTTTTAAAGTGACCTAGGAGATTCAGCCAGGTTTGCAAGCCATTGAACTAAGACAGTTTTCCTTAAATGTATTTCTATAGCTCTTTTATACATTTCTATTTACTATTGCAATTATGTTTTTAAATGCTCAAAGAACTAAAGCAAGTGAGGCTCTTCTATCATGAGTTCTGCTCAATAGATGTGCATATTCCATCTGTCTGAACTGTAGTCCACGCAACACTAATGTCCTCAAAAATATTAATAAATGTTGCTCATAACAACCAAAATAGTGCTCTTGTCAACTGAGTTTTGGAAATGGTGGGGTAAACAAGATACCTTATTAAAATGATTCTCAGTACTTGTAATAATACACTAATATTAAATTCCGGTCTGGTGCTGTAGGATAAGCACTGGGTCACAAGTTCAATTTGAACTGGAAGGTTCAAACTCACCCGCTGTTACTTAGAAACCCTATACAAGGTTGCTATAAGTGGAACCGACTCCACAGCACTTAACAACAACA